GATTCTCTGCCAAATTTAGTGGAAAAAATTCCCTGCTAAATTCAGTGGGAAAAATTCCCCACTAAATTTAGCGGGAAAAATTCCCTGCTATGTTTAATGGAAAAAATTTCCCGCTAAATTTTCCCCATTATATTTAGCGGAAAAAATTTTCTGCTACACTTGACGGGAAAAATTTCCCACTAAATTTAGCGAAACAAATTTCCCACTAAATTTACCGAAAAAAATTCCCCACTAAATTTAGCAGGGAATTTTTTTCACTAAATATAGCGGTAAATTTAGCAAAAACTTCCCACTAAATGGGAGGGGAGCAGGAGAGGAGGAGGACAGGTTACGGATGAGGAGGAGGGACATACCCTCCTCTTCGTACTTTCCCCTCCTAATCCTCAGGAGCTGCGCTCTCATTCAGCATTACAGGTAATTGTAAATGTCTTTAATTTTTTTTTTTTTAAAGACAATGCCGTTTTTTTTTGTATTACCTAGGAAGACGACACATCAGATATTACGACGTAGTTCTGTCTCAATGTTTCTTAAGGGGAGACACCCCCTGGGAGGGTCAACTTTTGAACCCTTGGCTGAAAATTAATGAAATTTACAGGGTAGGCTGGTGGTCATGCTACAGGGTGCATGACAAAATTTTAGGTCTGTTGGTTGAGTGGGAAGGAAATTAGGGCAGCTTCTATCAGCAACACCCCTACACTGTTTAGTTAATCTATCGTCAGAAAACTGTCACAATATTAAAGATTTTTATTTGCTAGATATGTAACAGAATGCCTAGGAGGTGCGCCTATAGAAAGGCTTTTGTAAAAAGTAATTGATTTCTATCAATTTTCTCTTCTGCGAAATTGGTCAACTTTTTGGTCTTCTGTGTCTCCGACAAAATGTCAACATTTTTTATAAAAGAGATCCGTAAAGTGACAAACAAACTCCATAGGCGCATTCCTTACTAAATTTCAGTCAGGAAAAGTGAAGAATGAGCCTTGCCTGTATTTCCATTCTCAAACGATAGATTGACTAAAATGGAATTTACACAAAAAGGTGGAACGTAGAAAAATGTGTTCAAAGTGCTCCAAACCCTACCTTTTCTTTAGCTTTGGTGGACAGAAAATAATTTATAAAAAATTAACTATGCAGTGTAAACTAGTGAAAATTTCTGGGAGTACTACTCTCTGGATGTAGATGGATGTAAATATGTAATTTTTCAAAATCAATGTTTTTTGAAGAATCTTTTTTTCTCCGGGTAGTGTCCCCCCTTAAACAGTCCGCAAACTTTGCAACTCGCCAAGTTGCCACAATCGGCTGACTTGAGCAGGCGCATCGAGGCTCAACCAACAGCGCAGTCAACGCTACAGCGTGGGCGTAGCCAACATTGTGCTAAACGTCCATCACATGCATTACCTTCTTTTGCTTGTTTTTACTTCTTCAGGCAAGCGTAACGGGTGATGTCAGCAACGTTTCCTCTCGGCGCTCATCGGTGTCCACGTGATTGGCGTAACGCACCTGCGCAGCGCGTTTCTTGGGCGCCGTTCGGCCGCTCCAACATGGTCCTGTCATTAACCCCATCTCCGGCGTCACAACCGCCGTTGTCGTCTCACCTCTTGTGATTATTGTCTCTTGGAGTTTCGCCCACACTACGGATATTACGTGCGCAGACAAATGCCGCAGTGGTGCAGACGACACTGGCGCCTGGCACGGGCCTGCTCTAATCCCGCCCGTCCTTGCACAGGGGACCACGTGACATCTCACACTACATGATAGCCATGTTCCTGGCGGCCCGAGGCCAACGTTGCCGGACAGAGTCAAGTTTCGGTTTCGATTTCGGCTCGTGTTTAAAATTAGGTCTAAAAATATACTATATCCCATTTTTCCCAAAGCCGATGACGCAGTGTGTTTTACTAGGGCCGTTTAATGTGAAATCACTCATTATTCCGAAATCTTCAAAATCGAGTGGAGTTGCCCTTAAAGGGACACTGACACCCCCCAAAAAATTTTTTTCATTTTTTGCCAGGCGCTTCATTATGGTGTCGGAGGACTACCCAATTAATATTTTGCAACAGAGTAGCGTATTTTTTTAATAAAGCCAAAAGACGCAACTGCTCGAAACCGAAACCCAACGGAGATCGGAGAAGTGAAGAGAAGAGAGTGAGTGGCAGAAGTCACGTGGCTACACCCGACCGTGCATTTTTTTTTTTTCTCCTCTCCGTAGCAGACAACACGACATGCGGCGTACGGGAACTGTTCGCCGTGCGATTATTTTGCAGTTATGCTTGTTCCGCTCGTTGTTCTGTACTCCAAGATAAGTTGTTTTGTATATTGAGGAGTTGGAGATGAGTAGTGAGTGCCCGTGGTGAATTTCCTTGATCGGCTCCGAAAAGAATACACCCATGATGTTGCGTGAAGAGCTGGCTCACATGTCCTGCGTCCGAAAAAAAAGGGGCATTGTGCGACAAAGTTTCTGAAAGATCAACGCGATCGGGACCAATGGCTGGCTGCAATTCCTGTAGAACATATACAGGCACCTCGGAAAGCGGACGGTACCTGATTTATATGCTCCTTGCATTTTGTGGAAAGTGATTACATTGAGTTCGCAGGTGTCAAAAAGGAAATCTCATACCATTTAATTCAGCGAAGTGTCGTCCACAACATCTGTTTGTTATTTTTTTTTTGTTTCTTCCAGTGATAATTGTAGAAATAAAAAAAAAAAGATATGTACACATCAAAAAATGTTTGAAAAAAAAAAAGGTTTTACCTTTTTCTTTTTTTTTCAATCATTCGCAGGATCGAACCCGGTCCTACCGCGCGTGAAGCGGACGTCTTTCCCACTGAGCTACTGGGGCATCACTTTACTGGAGTATCTCTTTCCTTAGTAATATTTTAGCCGGTAAACTATAAGTTGAAAACTTTGCTTCCGATTTTCCTCTAGCAAAAGCACTCCCGGGTCGAAGTTGGGAAGCACCACGCATTGGCGACATTCGCACCTAGTAAAGAAAGTCGTACGCGTGCATATTGAACTCGAAGTAGACACGTCGTGCTTGACGTTTGCGCGAGCGATGTCTTCAGCCACGAGAAGGGAACGACGGCTCGGCGACGTCTTCGTGCAAATCGGCTTGGTGGTCGGGCGTGTCGTACGGGATGAATACCAATTCTTTTGATCAGTCCCAAATTTCTTTAAAGGTAGACAGAATTCGCCGGTACCGCGAACGACAGTTCTGAAATAGAGGTCCCACGACCGTCGTCCGCTGCCATCGCCGTCCCCGCGAGTCCCATGATACGCGAAACGACGAACGCACTGAATGCTTCCGGCTGTCTGTGGAACTTTTTTTTTTTTCAATCAACGTATTTGCAGCTTTTTAGAAGCCGCAAAAAATGGGTTTCATATTTTTTTCTATTTTTAATATTGAGTGTGTGCCTTCAGTAACCCACGACTTTGTTTAAATTTGGTGGTCGCATCGATACCTTAGAAAACGGCCCGTGACCGCGGAAAAGAGAGTGAGCGAGACTCGAACCGGCCAGTTCTTGATCGGCGGTTTTCGTCGCAGAGAGAAACCGAATTTCGAGCCGCAAATTGTGTTCTGGGTAGTTGAGCTCTCGTATGTCACGTACAACTAAAAACCTCGGCGAGCATAAATACCCTGTCAGTGTCCCTTTAAAGAGCACAGCACAGGGCGAAAGTGACAAGACTCATTATAGAGAGCCCAAAAAAGGCATAAGAACTGTCAGCACCAGGAAAAGGGAGTTTGGTATAAAAGAAGGAATGAAAAGAATATAAAACAGTAGATGGAATAGGCAGCAAAAATTCTGCAACTGGACAGCGAAGCAAGTTGAGTCCCAAGTTTAATGCCACGACCGCAATGCAATATCTAGAGCAGGGGTCTCCAAACTTTTTAGGCTAAAGGGTTGGGATTGGCAATCTTTCACTCTCTCGATGACTGGAAAGTAAATAAGCTAATATGAATGAGAAAAAAAATTGAATAAATAATTCTAGATAACTATATAAATACAAAATTAAAAGTTAGAGTGAAAAAAAAAAAAAAAAATCAATAGTGGATGAATGCATATACTCTATTTTTGAAAACCAATATCTAGCTAAATATGCATGACATTACACAATACTTGGGACTCAAGAACTACTCATCAGGCATAAATTAAAGTAGGAACTTTGGCATGTTCCCACACATCAGAAGACTAAAGAGAATAAGAGAACTAATGCTGACAATATGCAATAGATACGACACAGGACACTGAGCACAATATACACCAGAGTGAAAGGAAATTTTTAACATATTTAGTTACCGAGATATGAAACAGGGGACTAAGAATAATGATGCTGATGATGACACTGTCCAATGAATAATACATATAATGAGGACATGCTTTACGATGGCAGTTTTCTTACATTTGGTTTTTTGTCTCTCTGTTTATGCAGCTGGTGAGCGTTGCGGCACCATTCCTTTATGCTCGCTTATTTTTGCACTGCGGTAGCAGTGGGCTTGTTTAAAGAGGGTCGAAGGCTGGGCTTCATTGGGAGTACCCCGGGCAACCACGGGCCGATGAAAAAACCTCTGTGGGCCAGATTTGGCCAGCGGGCTGGAGCCTAGAGCAAAGGTTCCACACGGGGGTTCTCCAGACTCACAGTCCTCAAAGACCTAGTGAGGCCAAGGTTTCTTGACCGTCCCTGCCCCTAAGTAAAGTGTTTTCCCAGTTCGAGCACTACTACTCAGCAGAGCTAAGTCATCCGCTGACGCATGACTATGAGTAAAACACTCTCCAGAATAATCATTACTGTTGGCAAGCTCTGTAAAGCTTCTGAACTGCTTCACTGCATCAATGTCAAGACCGGGATGGGTTCCCCGCTCTCAGTCGAGGCAGGTAAGGGTTCTTCAAGATAGAAGAGTTTGAGAATCTCAGGTCTCGAGCTTACAATCAAGGTTGGTGGGAAACTACAAGAAACATGATAGATGGACCACCATTGTTGCAAATGCATCCAAGAAAAGGCGACTCACATAGCCGGCGGAGTTGACGAAATATTCGCAAGCAATGGATCCCAGGTTCGTGTGGACGAGGTGACCGTGGCCGCGCCTGTGCGTCTTCTCCACTGAGCAGCCCTCAACCACGTGGACACCTGGAACAGGAAAATCCTATGCCCATTTTTGCGCCACAAGTCGTTTTTGCTGCAACCGGGGCGGTCCGAGCGAGTGAAAAAGAAGCCACAACCAAAAAGCGTGCAGCCTGAACCCACGTCAGACGACGGCCTAGAGGTCTACCTTCCCAAGCGTCCTCTCCGATAAAAGCTATTCGGCTAAAGGAGCCCCGATGCCGTTTACCAGTGACAATGACTGCTTTATGGCTGACCACTAGCAGTTCAAAACGTTCAAGAAATAGTAACGCAATTTGTCGTCACTTTTCGGCTACTAATCACGTACGAGAGTACCTTGTCCCGTCTATTATGTACCAGGAAGTCGGACTATGAGTCTGGCTCGTGTTTCCGCTTTGGAGCTTGTTTTGTGCTTATTCTCCCACTGAACTATGTGCACTCGCAAAGCTCCATAATTTTGAATCTAGAACAAAATATGACCGCATGAAATTTTTTTTTTTTTCAGATTATTTATAATCAAGTAAAAATAAGTCATTCCGATTACTTCGAAATTTGCTCCAATGAATCATCAAGGCACCGCCACACCATGTACATGTACAGAAGGGTAGGAGAGGGCATGACGTCAGCCACGTAGCCTCCACAAGCCATGCTCCCTTGACGCCTCGCCTCTTTCTCATTTTCCTCCTTACTCTCCTCACTTATCAGGCCAACGTGACCACATCACGTGACCGTAGCTAGCCTTCGTCTAGCCTTCGATCTGATAAAACCAACCAGATGGCACGCATGCAAGCCTGCAAGGAATCCTTCTACAATAAACCATCCATCTCACACGTGACATGTCATGCGCACCAATTGCCAGAGAGATCTACAGTCACGTTGGCCACAAAATCGTTTGAACTTTTTATGACTAGGCTTCACCAATATTGCAACGTGCCCCCTCCTAGTACCTATAACCTCCTTGTTCCAAGACCGTCTGTATGAAATGACTGTTTTAAATTAAGTTTTTTTCCTAGAGCCATAAACAAATAGAGCATGCTACCGAATGCCACTGTTTCATCAGTATCACTAAGTTCATATCTTAAAATGATTGAAATATCTGTTTTATGTGCTACTCATTACATTTAATAAATTTCACTACACCTATCAACTTGTGGAGATGTGTTCCTTTGATTCTTCCCGATCTTTGAGCAATGTACATTTGGAGTATAATTTATGTATACCGTAGAATACCGTACATCCGCCCATTCCACATTAATGCCCATCCCCAAATTTGTAAGATCAGAGAAAATATGCACGGTACATTTATATGTAAAATTGATGACCGGACAAGCACCCACCCCCATTTTTTTGAAATTATCTACAAAGTTTGAGTGGGCGTTTGTCCGGCATTTTACGGTACTTGTTTTTGTTTCTTGTTCCATATTACATTATATTGTATTTGTTGATAGGGGAAAATTCTAATCTTCAACCAGCGATCTGTATGTGTTCATTATGTATTTTTGTCTCACCCTGTAAGAGCCCTGTATGGGCTGACAGTATTAATAAATGAATGATTCAATGAAGGTGTTGCCATTGTGATATTTTCTCCAGTGGTGTACTTGTGCCTTACCGCATATACATGAGTACTTTGCTGCAGTAAGTGAGTGCCTTTCCTCTCCACACTTTTCTATTGTTTGGCCTAAATAAAATGACGCAACAGTATGCCCTTTGGAAAGGGCAGACTGTTGCAGAAATAAATATTACAATGGAAAATGAAAGGAAAATAAATATTACAATTTCCTTCCTTTAGAGCGCATCTTTTGGACAGCGTGTCAGTGTCACAGACTCCCAAGATGATCTCATAGCTGCAATTATCTTTCAAGCAATGGGAAGTGTCTCTACAAGGATAAAGGATTATAGCTTTTATTTTATAAATACGATAAAATGGCTTTCACAGCAATTCTAACACAAAGAGCTCTTTGCACAAAGGTAAGCAGACGGCTTATAAAATACCATCCAGATGCTTTTCTTTTTTTCATTTTGATTTATGTTTGATTTTATGATATAAAATGAATGTGCGGATTGAAGATAGAATGTTGTTCCAAATTTTGCGGATGAGGATACAAAGTCTGCAGATGCGGATCGGATACAATTATTTAAAAATTTGGCGGATGTGGATACAGATCGGATGATCAAACTGTTATCTGCGCAGGGCTCTGCATATCAGTTAAAAAAACAAAAAAACACTGCATAGTAAATTGGAAGGACATCTTAAAGGATTGTGTTAAAAAGTACTTGTACTTTACTTTGAAAGTACATGGCATTTATAATACTTTAAGTACATTGTGCCCTGTGTACTTACTACTTTACTTGAAGTGCATAACCTCTCATTTACTATGTACTTTGCTTCAAGGAGGTACTTCTTAGGTGTACTTTATACAACACTGCTTTAGATCATAACTGGCAGAAATCTTGAGGTATGCCTGGGGGTCTATGTTGCGCTTTTTGCACTCCCAGGAGACTTGGAAGAAGGAAGTGACGTCAACGACTAGAGCAAACGCAGATTGGATGTTGACTGAAGAAAACAAAATCAACATCCAATCTGCATTTGCTGTGTTGTTGACGTCACTTCCTTCTCCCTAGTCTCCTGGGAGTGCAAAAAGCGCAACATAGCCCCCCTGGTGATTGCGAGATACACCAAATTATAGTCCACTTGCAGAGACCTCAAAAATATATAAAATTGTATTCCCGTAGTTGAAGTCCACAAGCTAGGACGCGAGAAATCGCCGTTTTATTAAAAAAAAACAAGAAATTTGGAAAGAGGGAGTCTAGTTCACAAGCTATCGATACCCAAGTTTATTGTGCACATTGAAACGGCAGAAGACAAAGAAGAAGAAAGGGATTAGGAAAAGACAAAGAAACAATTAGATTGATTCCTTTGGTAGATGAACTTTTATTACTTTTTAATGTATGTTACAATAAAAATAAATACAGAGACAGGCATAAGCTGATTGGAAAACTGTCAAATAGCATCCAACAGACAGAAAACAAAGAAGAAGAAACTGCATGCATCACATGCAGGTGAGAGAGCCAGCGATGATGGAACGTGAGAACGCAATACGGAAGAGCCCTAGCGTTTGATTCTCCTGTCATTTGGATATGGAGGGCCATTGGCCGTGCCCTGAAGACACATCTCGGTTGCGGTCCGCCTTTCCCTACGGCACGTTCGTTGTGGCCGGACTGGCTGCTCTCACGGTCTCCCTGGTAGCCACGCCGGTGGCAATCTTCAGGAGGCTTGGCACCTGCCGACAGAGCTCGCTCTGCACATCCCTTGAAAAGGACCTCGTCGCGTCCCTCAATGCCGAAGTGCACCCTTGCGACGACTTCTACGAACACGTGTGCAGCGGCTGGGACGGGTCCCAGGCACTCAAGCATACAAATCCGCTCGTCAAATATGAGGCATCCTTCGAAAATCGGGTTGTGAGGACGCTACTCAACCGGAAGATTCCGCCGTATCCACGCAGGAGCGAGGACAAGGCGTCGTTCCTACTTCTTCGCTGCCTCCACAATCCCTCCCGTTTGGACACGGCCGGCCAGCTGGCATCGTACCTAGGAGCGTTGCGCCTGCCATGGCCACACAAGACCCACACCTCCAGGCAGCAGCTCTTGGACATCCTCCTTCAGGCATCCCTTGACTTTGGACTGCCGGCCATCTGGGCCTTCTACGTGGGACGCCACCCGCTCAATCCGTCCGAAAACACCCTCTACCTGGAACTACCGGCTAGCGTAGGGGAGTTTTTCAGGACGCTAGATGCCCTGCAGAAACAAGGCAGCGTGCGTCGGTACTTTCGCCGTTGTGCAGAAATACTCGGCGGCACAGGACAGTCTTACAGCAGCATGATCGACGACGTCGTCAAGGTCCACAAGAAATTTCTCAGGCTGGAGGCGCGACACTACAACCCGCTCAGGCAACCCTCCTACATGAACCTGAGCGATGCCGAACTGCGCCGCGCGATAAACGGCCACCTTCCCGACAATTCCCAGCTTTGGCCGACGGACGAGATCGTCAACTTGCAGCCCAAGCTATTCAAAGCATTCAATGAGACGTTCTTGCAGACGGCGGCGGATCGAGAAGATCTCAAGCTCTACGTAGGGGCTTTTGTAGTCTGGGACTTGTCCCCGCTGGCGTACCGCCACCTGACTGTCCACATGCTGGCGGACATGAAAAACTCCGAGATCGAAGAAGAATACGTAACACGGCGCTGTATCGCTGCCTTGCAGACGGTCATGCCACTAGTCCCGTGGAAAGTAGAATCGGACCTGGTTAAAGACAAGTCGGCAATCTTTCGAGAGCTAGCGCTTGTTCAGAGGGCCATAGAGAGGCACAGTGCGAGGTATGGCAAGGAAGTCGTGTCGGTCTTGAAAGAATCAGCGAAGCAGATCATGGTGAATGCCTTCAACTCAAGCGCCACCTCAGCTCTACTGGACAAAATGTATGAGTTTCTCGACATCACGCAGTCTGGGTCCTTTTTCGTCATCTTCCTCAAGGCTAGTTCCAACATCACAGCCTATTTCAAGGACTCGTTGCTCACACCTCAGCACAACATCGTTCACCTGCAGGGCGTCTCAGCGATCAGGTTATACCGCATGCTGGTGCTTCGAGAATCTGTTGTCTCTTCTTATCTCATGGCGCCACCCGTAACGCTGTCCGATCATCCAGTCCCGGTGCAAGCTGCCGTGATGGGGACAAAGCTGGCCTTGGATATTTTACAGGCTTTCGAATACAGCTTCCTCTACGATGCAAACTTCAAAGCGCTTAACGAAACAGATATACGACCGACTGGAGTCGGGAAATATCTACGAGATGTGGTCACCATTTATCGACAACTGGAAGTTCTGATTATAGGGAGGTTTTTTCAGAACAACCGGGTGCGAGAGATCGTCCTGCAAAGCTACGCAACTGCAGTGGCTTTCTCTGCCCACGGCTTGTCAACGACCAACGCCAGTGTCGGGGTGGCCACGTACGCACCCAAGGGCTTTGAAGGTAT